GAAATATCAATATGTTCAATGTATAGTAATGCAGCGCAGTGGGCAGTAGGACATGGTCTTGTTGAGCAAAACATTGTGCAAAAACACATTGTGTGCATATTGGTTGTCGTAGGATGTGTTTGTGTATGCATATGTACACTTACAGTATGTACCTTCTACCAGAAGGCAAAGGAGTGAACAGTCCGTGTTGGGGGTGGATGGAGTCCTTAACAATGGTGCAGGCTAAGTAGTGCAAATATTATAAGGTGCAGAGAAGAAGAATTATGGCAGATGGGAGGAGTTTAAAAGTCTTAAGGCCTGGGGGATGAAACTGTCTCTGAGCCTGGTGGTGCGAGCCAGGGTGCTATGGTACCGGCGCCCAGATGTCGGGAGACAGAACAGTTTATGGTTCGAGTGATTGACTTTAATGATCTGGTTGCTCTTCTTCCTACTTCGCTGAGTGTAGAGGTCCTCCATGGACGGCAGCTCAGTCCTGGTAATATGCTGAGCAGACTTCACCACCCTCTGTAGAGCCTTGCGGTTCAGGGTGGTGCAGCTGCCATAACAGGCCAGTTAGGATCTGAAGCTGCTGACTCTCTCCACCATAGTCCCGTTGATGGAGAAGGGGGGGGTGTTTTACCCCTTGTCTCTTCCTGTAGTCCACAATCAGCTCCTTTGTTTTGCTGATGTTGAGATTAAGGTTTTTGTCCTGGCACCAAGATGAGAGGGCCCTGACCTCCTCTCTGTAGGCCATCTCATCGTCACCGGTGATCAGGGCCTATGATGGTAGTGTCAGCAAATTTAATGATGGTGTTGGAAATGTGGGTGGCCATGCGTTCATGCGTGAACAGGGAGTACAGGAGAGGACTGAGCACGCAGCCCTGGAGGGTGCCGGGGGTTGAGAGTCAGGGCGGAGGATGGTGCTGCCTATCTGCACAGCCTAGGGTCTGCCCGTCAGGAAGTTCAGTATCTAATCACAAAGAGCGGTGTTGAGCCCAAGGTCTCTGAGATTGGTGACGAGCTTCAGGGGCACGATGGCATTGAAAGCTGAACTGTGGCCAATGAAAAGCATTTTCACGTATGTGTCCCTCTGGTCCAGGTGTGCAAGGGAAGTGTGAAGGGTGAGAGAGATGGCATCTGCAGTTGACCTATTGGCCTTTAGGCAAACTGCAGTGGGTCCAGTGAGTCAGGGAGGGAGGAGGTGATGAAAGATTTGACTAACCACTCAAAGCACTTTAATGATGGTGGAGGTGAGTGATAGTGGGCGGTAGTCTTTCAGGCAGAGGGTTTTGTTTTTCTTCGGAACAGGGACAATGATGGTCTCCTTGAAACATGTGGAGACTACAGATGTCTGTTAACACATCTGCCAGCTGATCTGAACACACCTCGAGAGCTCGGCCAGGAATCCCATCAGGTCCAGGTGCCTTGCGTGTGTTGATCTGCATAAGCGTTCTCCACACATCTGCCCTGGATATTACAGGTGGGCAGCAGTCCTCCTGGGCCTCTTGTACCTCATTTGATTCCTTGCTATTTATTTTTGGAAAACACAACGCATAAGACCAACGGTTCAAATATTTAATATTGGGACACATGCAATTTCACAAGAAAGTCACAGCTAATGTGTATGTCACTACTTTCCTACAATGTTTCCCGACAACATTGCCCTGGCAACCACACCCACCTGTAACATAGGCAGCCGCCACTTCTCTTGATGAGTGACTCGAGAATACAGGAGTTAGTTGCATACGTTTTGATAAGATAAATACAAATTATATTTTGTGAAATATGTAAAGTCCGAATGAAGTCTGGAGTCATTGGTGTGTAAGTACAAATCGACTTGCAAGTTATTTTTGATTTTGTTGAGTCATGTCCAAAGTCATCAAAATCTTGACTCGATTCCAAGTCATATGACTTGAGTCCACACCTCTGTGGAACACCATGACTAAGTTTTCTGTAGTCATTGTTAACATTTACAAATTACAGTCTATCTGATAAGAACGGCTTAAATCAGTCTTCTGTAATTTATAACACATTCTCATGATCTTTGGTGTCAAATGCAGCAATACGATCTATAGAAGAAAGTGTTCTAGTGTGTTCTAAACATAAATCTGGTACTATTGTTTGGTTCTAAGGTTACTGTACTAGACTAGTGTATCTGTATCCTTGGTTAAATTATGATTATATGTAAATTATAAATATGTTAATAGATAAATAAATATGGCTATAAAATAAACCCTGAAAAAAATGGCAATAAATATAGCATAATATAAATATATAACCGAGTCTATTAACTTAAATAAATTAATAAATATATACAATTTCTAATGCTATATTTATATATTTATTGCCTTTCATAGTCTTATTTATTTATTTATTTATTTAATTTTGACTCAAACAGCATATGGAAAAGGTGCTGAATTTTCTCATGGTAACAATTTTATTTTTAAAGAAGCTCATCAAATCATTACTGCTAAGAGTTAAAGGAATAGATGGTTCAGTAGCAGTGGCAGCTGAGAATAACATTTATTGGGGAGATGCAGTGTTGGGGGACAAACAAAATGAAGCCATACTGCCAGACTTGCGGATCTGGATCAGAGGGCAGATCCAACAATTTTTACCACTTTCTTGCCATTGCAATATACTATGTTTTTTGACACTTCCACTGATTTCTCAGGGAACAATTCACTGGTAAAAAAAAAATCAGGCATACTAAGGGGACAGATTTCTATACGTGTGTGTAATTTGGTACAGTTTGATCTAATATAACAAAGCTTTCTGGGTTTCCAAAATTTCTTAAAATTGATGACTCACTGTAAATCCAAGCATCCATTAGGGCTGGACTCACTTTAAGTACTGACGGAAAGTCATCTTAAACAGTCACTTTTTCTCTATATTGTTTCTTTATTGTCACCTGTCAAACTTTTAAGATTTTTTGCATCAAAACACTTAACATTATAAACGTTATCTTTGTCCCTGTATGTAATAGGGGTGCAGAACATTGATGCAGCCTGGTACCAGAGTCTGACTGGTCCGCTCAGTGATGACCAGAAGAAACAGCTGCAGGAGATATACAGCATCTCACAGCAGTGTAGGAGCACTGCCGCAAAGGGCCAGTGGTGAGTGTAAATACACACAAAGGAGGAGGAAAGGATTTAGTTTGGAGCAGAGAGATAGGGACAGACAAACAGATCTAAGAGATGTTTCTTAAATATAACACTGGCCTGATGAGTTGTGAGTAAAATATGTATCTTTCCAAAAACTATTCCTTAGACACTTTTTAATGTTTTCAGTTAGTGGGTAAGACACCTTTATAAATTACCGTACAGTAAGCACAATGATTTAAAAACACTGGATTTGGATGTTTTTTTATCCACAGGTTGTTAGCGCGTGTCAGATCATGCAGAGCTATTTCTCGCATCTCACTTTGTTTCCTCCCATCTTTCGTCCCTTTTGGAGTCCTGTATTAAACATTTAGAATTACGACCAATAGTATTGAGTAGAGAAGTATTACAAAATATACTTTATGGTATCTTGATGTGTTTTCAGAGTGCTGATGAGATGAACTGCAGAATCAGTGAAGGGGGCCGAAGAAAGAGAGCAGCTGGTCTGGCCTGACTTGAATTTAATTTCAGTTTTTTCTGAATGATATCAGTCCGGATAAAATCATACCTTAGTGATCCCACCAAAAGCACGTTCCAAATTGCCATTCGAATTGGATGGAGTACCATGGGCTGGATTGGCATTATAGCCGGGTCTTAGTGCACTGTATAGAACCACATCCACTGCTGGAATATTTCAATGACCAGAACAGACTATCATCCTGTGTTTGCGTGCACACAGATTTCAGTGAAAGATCTGCATTATAATTATAAATGTCTTTGACCAGCACAATTCATTTATGTTCTTGTACAGTGCAGTCCAGTGCAGCTAATTTAAGAAACAAAAGAATAATGTATCATTTCCTGTGTTATTCTTGTTATTCCATCATTCTTTACTGTTTCCTACCTTAATTAAATATCTTTGTTGTTTCCCCAAGAAGCATTGTGTCTTAATACAGTCTCACAAAGCCACTAATATGGCTGTTAAAATAAGTTTGATAAAAAAAACACAGCTGCAAAGAACAGCTGAGCCTGATGTCATTGTAATTAGTGGGTTAGCATAAGAACAACAACTATTGACTATTGATTATTTGTAAAGGCAAAGAATATTTTTCATTCAGCAACAATGTTAATATTGCTAGCAGTAGATTGCTACATTTCACAGACTCAAGCTTTTCGTTAACTGGGTTGCAACTGCAGCTGATATATTGCAGAGCAAATGTCTGTTTTTGCTGGTCTGATATCGGACCACTTTTGTTAATGTACAACTCTGTAAAATTTCGAAAGATAATAAACTCGTTTTTTGTCTATCTCTCAGTTCAAGCAGTGATCAGTAGTGATTTGCTGGACCATAGACTTTACCAAAAAATTGACAACATTCCTCCACTTCCGCCCACTCTAAAGAAATAAAGCCACAATATCCCATATATGAGGGCCGCCATCTTGTAAATTTGGAGCTGCACAGTAGCAGTCAGGGGATGGAGCTGGGGTAGCAAGTGTTATGCCCCTAAAAATGGGGGAAAATAATCACAAGAGTGATGTGATGGTGTTTCTTAATAGGACTTTTTTACCCAAATCAAAGTTGTACAAAAATACAACCATCTACAATGAATTGTGGTACACATACTTTTCAAGTAGTAATAGCTGGCATTTATATAGTGCTTTGAAGAGAGTTAAGGATGCTTTACTTATCATTACCTTTCTACAATATTTCACTGAAGCATAGTTTTCACATACAATCAATCAGAACATATCTTAAGCTGTACACTTTCACAAAACTCACTTAAAGTGCATAGAACACATTTAGTTAGCAGTGCCAAATATCACAACAGGTGCACAGGTGAATTCAGCAGACACAAGATGGCAGCTGCACCTGGTGTGGCTACACGTCACTACATTTCCTAGCAGGGATTTGCTCACACACACACACACACACACTTTGTTTCTCAACACTAACTCACTCAAAATGTTACCAAATCATTACTGACATTACAGACAACAAACTTACCTCAATAAGGTGAGAAATAATTACAAGAGTGATGTGATAGTGTTTCCACAGTGGTAACTTTTACTCCAATACAATACAGCAAGTTTACCTAGCTCTATCCCAGATCACCCGATTAAGACCTCAGTGTAAATAATCAGTTAATTACTTACATTTATCACAAAAGAATAATTTTATGTAAAATAGAAACTTTTAGTATTTTTTTAACAAATAACTGTTTTCAAAAACTGTATTGTTTTTGGCTAGTCCACAGTAAATGTTATGTATGAATGCATTTAATCTATGTAACCTCACAGATTTTCTTACATTACAGACCATGAATTGACTGTTTTAAATAAACTTGTAACGGTATATTATCTTTAAGCTTGTCAACGAGTCCCCATCGATACACGGTCTCAACCAATCACAAGTCACTCCTTGCAAAAAATGAAAACTTGGAAAACTTTATATACATGGTCTATGGGCTGCACCCACAAAGGACAAGGCAACAAATTAGAAAATTAAGCGTGCCCCCAGGCCCGTGGTGGAACAAAAACACTCGGGCCGAGTTTGTATAGTCTCTGCCAAGCAAGTCAACCAAGTGCAAACCGATATTTCTGGCAGAAGTCTGGCTTGCACATGCACCTATAAACATCAAAGGGGGCTTGAGCCCCTGCCCTTAACTGGGGCGCTTTTCTTTTTTTTTAATAAATGAGTTTTATATTCCTGTTTGCATATAGCTTCCCTTTCAAACAAATATAGTCATTGAATAATAAATCTAAATATCAGGTCAGGAGATTAAACGTCATATGACACAGGCAGGCAGAACCTCCCAGCTCCTGTCCCAGGGGTGTTTTTTCTTCGCTTGTGTGGAGGTTAGTGGTGAAGAACAATGGACTAAGCTACCAGTCCCTCAAGTTTACAGCTAATTAGCCAAAAGACAAAAACAAATATAGTTAATTTGTGTCTTGCTAATGTACACATACATGAGCCACTAACTAATGTATATAGGCTAATGTACTATACTTAAGGGGAGACACTACAGGTGGAAACAATCAAATTTGTATCTAATAATGTCATCACAATCTCCACCTCGATATGCGAATTTGGCAACTAATTAAAATGCGCAAATTTCTATACATTTGCCAAGGCACTGCAGGTGAATAGGATTCAAAATAATGTAAGAAAGCATTTCACCACATTACTTCTCCAGTTAATGACTTACATCAAGACAGATGAGCTTGTTTGGTGAATTTAGGAGAAATCTACAGATGTAGAACAGTCAATGTTTGTGATTTCTTTTGTTTAGACCTTACTGAAAGAGAGTCTAGATCTTCTGCCCTCCTAGAAGTTGAAGATTAGAAGAGCTCACAGGGCTTTAGGTCATAACATTTAGGACCGCCCAGGGACACACCGCAAAGGTTGATAGTGGTCAGATTTGCCAGTCACTGAACTGAAGAGGACACAATAAAGATGGCCTGGCAGAAGCAGGGTTTTTGTTCTACAGGAGAATAGAGTAAACTTAAAGCATCGTTATGCCACAGACGTTCTCAAAAATGCAAAGGATATGCAGAGGCAAAAAAGGGTGCTGAGGGGAAAAAAAGAAGCGATTTCGGACGCCTATTCCTTCCAAATAGAGTATTCTATCAGGATGAGACCTGTATCTACCTCTCAGCTGAAGGGGCAGCTAAAGATATGGTAACAAGAGGTTTACCCTGTTTACCTTAGCTTGGCACTCATCTCCCTGGAGGAAAGAGTCTGATAAACCTGAGCCACGTTCCATTTATAAGGAGAAGCCAGCAGAAGTAGAATCAGGCTTTTCTAACTCTTGACTATGAAAGATTGACTGAATTTCCCGATGTTGAGTTCAAGTGTTTGTTCACTATGTTCTTTGAAACAATCAGATCTCTTTCACATGTAAGAGTGTAAGAGCCTGTGCTATCTCTCCTTCAATTCAGACTCCTAGCTAAGCATATAAGAAACTGTGTTTAAAATGTGAAAATGATGCAGTAGCTGTCATGTGTTTGGCATTCATATCTTCCCATGGAGGGCTGTGGAGTGGCAGAGGAACTTTATCCCTCAGAGTCATCACGACATCAAGGCCCCATCTCAAAGTTCTTAATCAGTTTGGTTTTCTTTATACAGTATGTGTCTTTGTGGGAAGGGTTAGCTTAGAGACTGGGCAGAAGGCATCGACAAATATAACATCAGAGGAGTAAAGAGGAGAGGAGAGTAAATCCTTGAGCAAAATTAAAACAGAGAAGGTAGGTATGTTTTTCTTCAAGAGACTCACCTCTCAGAACCAGCCCATGTGAAACTTAAAAGAAAGTTTTCACAGACTCATATAAATCTGGACCTAGAAGAGGGGAAACAATGATGAGAGCAGGAAGGTATAATTTTGAAGTACAGTTTGAAACCAAAGGTAGGGAGGTGAGATAGATACATTATGGTGGGGAGAAGATTTGAGGGGATAGAAGTCACATTTCTGTATGTCTGTGCACCACTTGCAGCAAACTTTTTTCAACAGCTTTTCGATCTTATGTTAACTAAAGCCCAAGGTCTGGTGGTTTGTTGCGGAGATTTCAATGTCAAAGTTGGACTTTTTACAGGATGTCAACTCGCAGAGCAACTCTCTCTGCAGAAAAATCAACTGTATAATCCAAGACTCAGGTATAAATAATGTGTGGAGAGAATTTCACCCCAATAAAAGACTTTTGTACTATTGTACCTATTCTCAAATTGATTATTTATTGATATGATAGACATATGTCATATGTCTATCATAACTGGCACACTTTGTTTTGTGGAAAAAAAAGCTCCATATGCCGAGCCACGGTGCGCAATGCCAGGCTAGACACACATGGAGCGAGCAAGCCCTCCTCCCCTGCCGAGTATTTGGTGTTAGTAAATAAATTTTCCAGTGTTCCAGATCCCAGTGCCTGCCTCGTCAAGTTCACCTACACACTTTTCTCTGTGATGAAGATGGACAAAAACCCAAACAGGACTTGTCTCACTGATGCACACCTTCACTCCATCTTGAGGGTTTCCACAGCAAAGAACCTAACCCAAAACATGAATGAACTGGCATCCAAGAAAAGATGCCGAACATCTGGCTCCGGCACATGTAAATAAAAGAAGAATGTAGCCTACCTATATATGTTTTCTTTATGCACTTTATCCAATATCCTGTCTAATAAATGTTGACCCTGTTTTACCCTCGGCGTAGTCCCAATTTTATTATTTTATTTTGGCCATCTCTGTGATTAAGTTTGACACCACTGGTTTAGAGTGTAACACTTGTGGCTGGCTAAGGATGTTCGTTAGACTATGTATGTAAAGTTATGACCACTATATAAACAGCATAAGCAGATGAAAGTGCTTTAATTGTCCATTTTGTATAGCATTGAAGCAGACCAGAATGAAACATAGTGGCAGCGGGAACAACATGGAGAAAACGGGGAAGAAAAATTGTGCGGCTGACTAGCTAGTGTACTGGCTACCAACAGCACAGGACCTAAAGTGGACGCTCCGGTCAATCAACAGAGAAATATGGAAGGTTTGGAATCGCTACCAAGATTTTGTTGTGTTTGGACTCTGGCAACCTAGTAAAGACATGAAAATTGTGGATAGGGGGAATTTATCTGTATGGATCTGTCTATTCTCGTCTATTTCCCCTCCAGTCTCTACGATGACATTGTAGAGACTGGAGGGAACTTTGTGAAACTTTGACGAGGGATGTTACTATGCCCAGGAGGAAACTCAATAACATGATTGAAAGATTTGATGAGCATTGCAACCGAAGGTGAATGAGACAGTGGAAAGGTATCACTTCTTCATGAGTAATCAAGGTAATGATGAGAACATCGATACATATGTTACTGATCTCAGAGTTTTAGCCAGCACATACAATTTTGGAGAAATAAAAGACTCACTTATATGAGATAGGATAGTATATGGCAACATTTGAGGACTGAGAGAAGAAAAACTGACATTGGACAAATGTCTACAGTTGTGCAGAGCTACAGTTGTCATGAGAAATCAGGAAAGCCATTGAAGGAAATACAGTGGAAGAAGTGCACATGGTGAAACAGGCAGGCTGGGATAAAAACTTGAGCACAGTGTCATGCATATTCTGTGGGAATACACGTAAAAAGGAAAATGAGTACATGTCCAGTCTTTGGAAAACACTGCAACAAATGTGGTAAAGAAAATCACTCTGCAATCAGATGTAAATCCAAATCAGAAAAATAGAAAAGAGGAAAACAGGTGCTCAATGTGACTGAACAGGATAGTGAGGACCGTGAAGATATCGTGAGTGTCACTACT